CGATTCAGCACCACCAAACCAGCTCTACAACAAATGCTAAAGGAACTTCTCTAAGTGGGAGAAGAAAAAGACCTACAAAAGCAAACCAAAAACAATTAAGAAAATGGTATAGGAACATACATATCAATAATTACCTTAAACATAAATGAAATAAATGCTCCAACCAAAAGACACAGGCTTGCTGAATGGATACAAAAACAAGACCCATATATATGCTGTCTACAAGAGACACACTTCAGACCTAGGGAAACATACAGAATGAAAGTGAGGGGATGGAAAAAGATATTCCATCCCCTGAAGTAGCTATACTCATAACAGATAAAATAGACTTTAAAATAGAGAATGTCACAAGAGACAAGGAAGGACACTACATAATGATCAAGGGATCAATCCAAGAAGAACATATAACAATTATAAATATATATGCACCCAAGAGAGGAGCACCTCAATACATAAGGCAACTGCTAACAGCTCTAAAAGAGGAAATCGACAGCAACACAATAATAGTGGGGGACTTTAACACCTCACTTACACCAATGGACAGACCATCTAAACAGAAAATTAATAAGAAAACACAAGCTTTAAATGACACAATAGACCACACAGATTTAATTGATATTTATAGGACATTCCATCCAAAAACCACAGATTAAACTTTCTTCTCAAGTGTGCATGGAACATTCTCCAGGAAAGATCACATCCTGAGTCACGAATCAAGCCTCAGTAAATTTAAGAAAACTGAAATCATATCAAGCATCTTTTCTGACCACAACACTATGAGATTAGAAATCAATTACAGGGTAAAAAACGTAAAAAGCACAAACTCATGGAGGCTAAACAATACATTACTAAATAACCAAGAGATCACTGAAGAAATCAAAGAGGAAATCAAAAAATACCTAGAGACAAATGACAATAAAAACACAATGATCCAAAACCTATGGGATGCAGCAAAAGCACTTCTAAGAGGGGACTTTATAGCTATGCAAGCCTACCTCAAGAAACAAGAAAAATCTCAAAGAAACAACCTAAAATTACACCTAAAGGAACTAAAGAAAGAAGAACAAAACCCAAAGTTAGCAGAAGGAAAGAAATCATAAAGTTCAGAGCAGAAATAAATGAAATAGAAACAAAGCAAACAATAGCAAAGATCATAAAACTAAAAGCTGATTCTTTGAGAAGATAAACAAAACTGATAAACTATTAGCCAGACTCATCACGAAAAAGGGGGAGAGGACTCAAATCAATAAAATTCGTAATGAAAAAGGAGAAATCACAACTGACACTGAAGAAATACAAAGGATTATAAGAGATTACTACAAAAAACTCTATGCCAGAAAAATGGACAACCTGGAAGAAATGGACAAATTCTTAGAAAGGTATAACCTTCCAAGACTGAACCAGGAAGAAAGAGAAAATATGAACAGACCAATCACAAGTAATGAAATTGAAGCTGTGTTTAAAAATCTTCCAACAAACAAAAGTCTAGAACCAGATGGCTTCACAGGTGAATTCTATCAAACATTTAGAGAAGAGCTAACACCCATCCTTCTCAAACTCTTCCAAAAAATTGCAGAGGAAGGAACACTCCCAAACTCATTCTATGAGGCCACCATCACCCTGATACCAAAACCAGACAAAGATACTACAAAAAAAGAAAATTACAGACCAATATCACTGATGAATATGGATGCAAAAGTCCTCAACAAAATACTAGCAAACAGAATCCAACAACACATTAAAAGGATCATACACCATGATCAAGTGGGATTTATCCCAGGGATGCAAGGATTCTTCAATATACGCAAATCACTCAATGTGATACACCATATTAACAAATTGAAGAATAAAAACCGTATGATCATCTCAATAGATGCAGAGAAAGCTTTTGACAAAATTCAACAGCCATTTATGATAAAAACTCTCCAGAAACTGGGCATAGAGCAAACCTACCTCAACATAAAAGAGGCCATATATGACAAACCCACAGCAAACATCATTCTCAATGGTGAAAAACTGAAAGCATTTCCTCTAAGATCAGGAACAAGACAAGGATGTCCACTCTCACCACTATTATTCAACACAGTTTTGGAAGTCCTAGCCCCAGCAATCAGAGAAGAAAAAGAAATAAAAGGAATACAAATTGGAAAAGAAGTAAAACCGTCACAGTTTGCAGATGACATGATACTATACATAGAGAATCCTAAAGATGCCACCAGAAAACTACTAGAGCTAATCAATGAATTTGGTAAAGTTGCAGGATACAAAATTAATGCACAGAAATCTCTTGCATTCCTATACACTAATGATGAAAAATCTGAAAGAGAAATTAAGGAAACACTCCCATTTACCACTGCAACAAAAAGACTAAAATACCTAGGAATAAACCTACCTAGGGAGACAAAAGACCAGTATGTAGAAAACTATAAGACACTGTTGAAAGAAATTAAAGATGATACTGACAGATGGAGAGATATTCCATGTTCTTGGATTGGAAGAATCAATATTGTGAAAATGACTATACTACCCAAAGCAATCTACAGATTCGATGCAATCCCTATCAAACTACCAATGGCACTTTTTACAGAACCAGAACCAAAAATCTTAAAGTTTGTATGGAAACACAAAAGACTCCGGATAGCCAAAGCAGTCTTGAGGGGGAAAAACGGAGCTGGAGGAATCAGACTCCCTGACTTCAGACTATACTACAAAGCTACAGTAATCAAGACATTATGGTACTGGCACAAAAACAGAAATATAGATCAATGGAACAGGATAGAAAGCCCAGAGATAAACTCACACACCTACAGTCAACTAATCTATGACAAAGGAGGCAAGGATATACAATGGAGAAAAGACAGTCTCTTCAATAAGTGGTGCTGGGAAAACTGGACAGCTACATGTAAAAGAATGAAATTAGAAAACTTCCTAACACTATACACAAAAATAAACTCAAAAAGGATTAAAGACCTAAATGTACACCAGACACTGTCAAACTCTTAGAGGAAAACATAGGAAGAACACTCTTTGACATAAATCACAGCAAGATCTTTTTAGATCCACCTCCTAGAGTAATGGAAATAAAAACTAAATAAAAAAATGGGACCTAATGAAACTTAAAAGCTTTTGCAAAGCAATGGAAACTACAAACAAGACAAAAAGACAACCCTCAGAATGGGAAAAATATTTGTAAATGAATCAATGAACAAAGGATTAATCTCCAAAATATATAAACAGCTCATGAAGCTCAATATTAAAAAAACAAACAACCCAATCAAAAAATGGGCAGAAGACCTAGACATTTCTCCAAAGAGGACATACAGATGGCCAAGAAGCACATGAAAAGCTGCTCAACATCACTAATTATTAGAGAAATGTAAATCAAAACTACAATGAGGTATCACCTCATACCAGTTATAATGGCCATCATCAGAAAATCGACAAACAACAAATGCTGGAGAGGGTGTGGAGAAAAGGGAACCCTCTTGCACTGTTGGTGGGAATGTAAATTGATACAGCCACTAAGGAGACCAGTATGGAGGTTCCTTAAAAAACTAAAAATAGAATTACCATATGACCCAGCAATCCCACTACTGGGCATATACCCAGAGAAAACCATAATTCAAAAAGACACATGCACCCCAATGTTCATTGCTGCGTTATTTACAATAGCCAGGTCAAGGAAGTAACCTAAATGCCCATTGACAAAAGAATGGATAGAAAAGATGTGGTACATATATGCAATGGAATATTAGTCATAAAAAGGAACGAAATTGGGTCATTTGTAGAGACGTGGATGAATCTAGAGACCGCCATACAGAGTGAAGTCAGAAGAGAAGAACAAATATCGTATATTAACACATTTATGTGGAACCTAGAAAAATGTTACAGATGAACCAGTTTGCAGGGCAGAAATAGAGACACAGATGTAGAGAACAAATGTATGGACACCAAGGGTGGAAAGCAGCGGGGGGGGGGGGGGGGGTGGGGGTGGGGGGGTGGAATTGGAATGAATTAACTGGTGTGTATAAAATGGAAGACTAATAAGAACCTGCTGTATAAAAAAATAAATTAAATAAAATTCAAAAAAAAACAAAAAAAGCATTTATAGTTTTGGCTTGCACATTCGGTGACCCCACCTGGAGTCTAATTTTGACTTTGATGTGAGATAGTAAGCTAAATTTATCTTATGTCCCTGCACTATTTAATTAGCCCATCCATTTGTTGTAATCCCACCTCTGCAATAAATAAATGTCCACTTAAAAAAAAATACCAATCTGTTATTATAATGTTCCTTACCTTAAAAGTGCTCTCCTTTGAGGGGCAAAGTTCAAATATGAGGCAATGGCTATGCATCAAGTCAGTGCCAACATGTGGTCAACTTCCGCCCCTCAATACCACAGAGAATCAAAGGTCCAAGAAGGCCAAGGAGAGTTCATTGAGACAGAAGCAAATACAGCATGGTCACAGGCCACAAGCATTTTACAGCTCCCCAAAGACAGCCTGACCAGCATGTGAAATAGTCAACTTCCTGCTTGTTTGTCACAAAAGTTTACTCAAATAATAATGGTAACCAGGGGGGTTAAATTTTTGTGTATTTGTGTACTTATGTCCAAATTGTAAGCTCGCTGAAGAAAAAGCAGACACATATACTTGATGAAGGTAGGCACCAGATCCCTTTCTATTCCAGAGATGGAGGACCCAGGCCTGACACTGGTGACAGAGGCCTATGGTGATGTCTGTCCACTGTCCATGGGGAATGAACATGCCCAGTGCAGTGCCTGAAATCCGGAATCCTGCAAAGTCACCTTCTCCAGTTCCAGAAAACTATCTCCCTCACTACCCCCCTGCCCCATACACACACATATACACACCACTGCCCTACCTCCACAAAATAAATTAAGGCAGACCACACTAACACTACCAGAGTCCATGCTTTTCTTACTCATCTTAGAGGAAGTTGTTTCTCACATGTCAGCATAAGATTATACAATTCTTACCTTAAGTTTTTCAAACAGCTTTATTCTCATTTCTAGACCTTGCTTCTTGATTTCTTTTTCTCTGTGTTGTCTCTTCATCAATATCTTATCAAGCCTCTTCATCTTCTGAATAGCATCTTGAAGTTGAGAATCTAATTCTTTTATTTCAGATTCATCTATATATGTTGAAAGTAGGAATGAGCTTGAAGTTTAGTAAAATCATAAAGCCTTTTCCTTCTTGTTTTGTTTTTACTATTTGTTCTTTCATTCAACAAATGTTTATGGCTGATGGTAATAACTAACACTGGTGTCATGTATCTTGGTTTACAAGGTGCTTTCACATATTTTTTTCACATAATTATCTAACAACCCTGTGAAACAGACATTTACCTCTATTTTACAGTTGAGATAACTGGGTCCTTTCAAATAGCTAATAAATTATAGCAATGAATTCAGAAGTGGATCTCGTATGATTTTAAATCCCAAATTCTTTCTCCTTCATTCTGCTATACTTTCTATATTCATAACTAACAAATAAAGAATAAGACAAAGACCCTATCCTAAAGCTGCTTCAGACTAACTGAAAGAGAAGTCATGTACACAAATAGCTACAGTAAAATGTAGCATGTCATAGAGACAAAGAGCGATTCCAACGTGTTAGAAACAAATTCAGAAAAGTACACAGTGTATCTTAACACCTTTAATCTATGCCTCTCCCATTTGTTCTATTTTCCTAAAGTACCTAAAAATGTTCTTGAATTGTGGATAATTGATAGTAACTTATTTGAAATTAGGAACTCTTTAGAACTTCTGTCATTCAAGTTTTAACTTACCATTATGAATAATAATATTAATAATTATCATTATGATTAATGATAATATTAATAATAGCAGCTAACATTTATAGAGTTACCTGATAGGCACAGTCTTAAGTGCTTTTTTACATTCATTATCTCATGTAATCTTCACCGTAAACCAGCAAGATGGTATATTGTAACAGAGTTACATATATGTCCGAGATATATCATCTTATAACTAGTAAATGCCAGAGTCAGTTTCCACCCGATCTGTCTGACTGCAGAGCCAAAGCTCTTCACCACCAGGAGATACTTCCTCTGTAAGGTCTGATGAAAGATGATAATCTGGCAATGAGCATAAATGCTCAAGTTCTAAAGTCTCAGCCACCCCAGCTTAGATCATTAGAAATGGCATATTATGCAAAGAAAAGCCAAGTTTTGCAACGTTTGAAAATACAGAGCCCAGTGATGTTTCCCTATAATGTATATCACTTCTTCTTAAAAGAAAAGGAGATATGTTTCGAGGGAATAAGCTTAGCCAAAAACAATACTAATCTTACTAATAAGGAGACCCTACGAATCATATGGCTCACATACATAGAATGCAACAGCCTCTAGTTCTAATTCCCAACCACCAGCCCTAGCATTCTCAGGCCCCATTGTACATGGGTGGTCTATCCAGCAGGCATTTTGAAGTAACTCTTGCAGTACGGAAACAGTATAAACAAATACACCGTAAATGGGGCCAATAGCTAACCTCAACTCTAATACCTTGTTTCCTAATAACTGTAATCCTGAGTCACCTGGCCCTAGAGCTGATCTCATCCCAAACATACTCTAAATCAGCAGTTCACAAAGTTTATGAGCTCAGCTTCCCTTTACAGTTTATAAATTATGGAGAACCCAAAGTACCTTTTGTTTATGTGAGTTACATCTGTTGATAATTACCATATTAGAAATCAAAACTGAAAAATATTATATGTGTTTATTTATTCATTCAAAAATAATTAACATGGTATTACTAATTACATGCTAATATAAATACAGCACTTTTATAACAACCAAATTTTCCAAAAAAAATATTGAGAAGAATGGCAATATTTTAAATTTCTAGTATCTGGATTAACAGAAGACAGCTGGATTCTCATCTCTGCTTCAAAGCCAATCTATTGTAATCTGTTACTCAGTTAAAGTATTGACTGTATGAAGAAAATCTGGCCTCGCACAGTAGTTGGAAAGGGGAGGAGAAATTTAATACCCTTTTCAGATAATTGTGGATATTCTTCCTTGATACTAACATCAAAACTGGACAAGGGGTAGTTTCTTAAAGGTTAGTTGTAATGTGAAATCTGTAACCCTATCGGTGAGCTTTTTGTATTTGTTCCATAAATCCATGGATCTATCTTTCATTTGAATGGATCTTTTATCCTGCATTGCTTATTTGGAAAATAGTGGTTCACTGAATTATGCAGACCTTCAAATATTAATGATTTCAGTATACAATATGAAAAAATCACATGTGTTATTACTGTCACCAATTTTTATCAGAAAAGTCTAAGTACTGGGAAGCTGTAAAGCTCATGTTGACATACACAAATTTTCCAAGATTCTAATTTTTCACTTGAAAGCTGAAATTTTATCATTGACATAAAATACTGTCAGTTGTTTTCCTTGAAATAACAGGCCCAGTTCATTTTTTTTTAAATGTCTGCCAAATATCTAAGTCTGAATGATAATAGATGATCTGTCACTCATTCTTTCTAGTAAAAATGGTGTCCCATTAAAAAGTGGCCAGTTCAGCTCTCAACTTAAATTATCACACCAGTACTTTTCCTCAACACAAACTTCACATTTTGGCACACAGCAGAATCTCTGTATATGTACCTACCATTTCACCACACAGGATATTAAAAAGATGTGTACTCAAAGGTCAAGATTAAATAGAATTTAAATTTTTTACTGCTCCATCAAGGACATTCTTGCGTGACACTGGCTATTTCTTTTCTCTGCCCATGCCAGGTCTTGAAGAACACAATGACTATTAGTACAATTTGGTGCCATTCATTGCCTTGATTCATGCTAAAGCACAAGCAATTTTACCCACCATTGCTTTTGTACCATCAGTGAAACCAACAATTCAGTGGGCAAAAAGGCAAACAGCATTATTTCAATATTACAATGAATCATATCACTGATATATCAGTATTATGATGAAAGTAGTTTTGACTTTGCAGAGTTCCTAAAAGGGTCTCAGGGCCCAGGGCTCTTTCAGTCCATGTTTTGAGAACTGCTGTTCTAATTCACTCTGACCAGTATTAATTAATACCAGTATTAATACCCATGAAATAATGGAGTCTCTTAAAATCCAGAAGTTATTAAGATCAAAAGGGATTATCCCTTAAAAGGCATTTATAAATTACAGGATATATTCTACTGTACAATTTTCAAAAAGATCAATAAATCATGTCATAAAATGCAGAAATACTTCCTACTTGATTAATGTAAAATGATTACAATAACAATTTTATTAAATGACATATTTTATTATTTTTCTAAGTGTATTTAAGAACTCTTAATATTCTTATAAATGAAAACTGGTGATTTGCTTGCTCACAAAAAAGTCTTTTTTTATTATTTCTACTTAGCAGATAAAATAAATATGTAATTCTAATATTTTAACTATAGCATCAGTAATTATCATTAGCCAATCACCAAGTGATTATCCTACCTGAACATTCAGGGATTATCTGATGCTGAACCAAGTTCGAATTTTCATCTGATCCCTCTTCAGCCAGTTTTATTTTCTCAGAGTAGTTTTCCCCTTTATCATCATTACTGTTTCTACCTTCCTCTGTATTACTACTGCCTTCTGAGTGGCCTTCTTTACCACAGTTCAGATTGATTGCAGTATCAACCTAAAAATTATTTCCAAAGAAACAGTTTTCAAAAGTAAAAGTAAAAAAAAAATTTTTTTTAATTTTAAATTTCTAGACTATTTTAACTCTAATGTAAGTATATGTGAGGACATATATATATATAGTAGCATTAAATGATTCTAGAAATATGACACTTAATTAAATGTAATTTAAATACACAATTAAATTTAATAATATTTGCACCAAAGTAATATGCACCACTCTCCAGCAATTTCTAGCAATAATAGAGAAGGGTCAGGAATCAGTCCCTAAGAGAACTGCTCTCTGCCAAGCTCTGGGGTTGAAGCATGATGGCCCCTGCTCTCTGAGCTTACCCTCAGATGGACAGTGAAGGGTCTAGAGCTGGGCTGTCCAATACAATAGCCACTCGCCACACGTGGCTACTGAACAGCTGCAAAGTGAACAGGCTGAACTGCGACATGCTTCTAATGGAGTTCTTCAAATCATAACCATGTGCTTTGCTGCATAATTTATTTTTACACTATTCACAGTTTTTCTATTTCATTTTGGTTTCTCTTTCCATTTTAGCAAAGTTCATTTTGAATACACCAGTTTGGTGCAGCTGTGTTTTCCTGAGAGAGAACAAGAAAAGACATCCATGGCTGCACCAGGAAAAAACAGACATCATAGGGCCCTGAGGGCTGTGCTTGGCAATATGAGTCACAGTGGAGGTGAACACAGCCCATGGGAGAGGCAAAACCTCAGGGACAGCAGGTCAGCCACTGCTGAGACGAGTACCTTTCTCCTCCAACGGAGGGACTGTCTGCTCCAGCCCTTCAGGGGTCAGCCCTTGGAGGCTTTTATGGTCATGGTCCACACCCCACCACTGTAATCTGTGCGCCCTTGTGAATCTCCAGGACAGAAGATAGACGGTGCTGAGAATTAAACTGTCAGGGACACAGGACTGCATGAGCACCTATGTTCACCTGAACTAGGACATAAGCCCCAGCAGAAATGAGCTGAGCCAGTGGTATAAAAATCATAGCCGACATTGACTGAGGCATTACTATTAGCCAGGTCCTGTGCTAAGTACTTTAGACACACTACCTCGTTCATGCCTCACAATGATACAGGCATTACTATCCGGATATAACAGAGAAGAAAACAGATCCAGTATGGAATGAAACTAGTGGAGACCCAATTTATAATAAGCAAAACAATGCTTACTTTATGTGATCTTGGAGGTGTTAAAGAAGGTTCCCTGTTGAAAAATATTCTTCTGTCAAAGACAGGGTAAAGCTTAAAATTCCATAATATCCAGTAAATCCTTAAGGCTATATAGTTCTGTGAAAATGCTGAAATTGCTAGGAGAGGTCACACGAGCCCTGCCAGTAATTTATATCTTGGCATAAATGAATCTAGCTGACCTTTCCCTGAGAATGGGTTTTTATACAGGGGAAACATAAGTAGACATTAGCAACATACTCGGATATCACACTTCAGGATACACAAAGATCTTTCATATATATCATCCCATATGACCCTAACTCTTAGGATGAGCGGGAAGCAATGAGGCAGAAAAAGATGAAACTAGAGAACAAAAGGCAAATATTGCCCATTTCACAATTTTTACCCATAGTTCCCCACCCCACTAGCACCAACCATCTCCCCCATCCCGTTGCCCACTGGCCTCTCTATTCCCAGCCCTCCTGATCTTCTACCCTGTGGCCTAAGTGTATGATTTTTCTTTCTTCTTCATTCTCAAAGCCACATTCAATCTCCATTTTTCATTGCTCTGTGTCCCCCACTTCATACCTCCATGTTAGTCCAGGAAAGGTAAATAGCCTATAAAAACCCTTCCTAGCAATTAGATCCCTACCTGAAAGCCATGAGATTTTTACACCAATTCCAACTATTGGCTCATTCAAGAAAAATATTCAGAAGTAAAAATAAACCAAAATTCTTAGAATGAGAAATATACCATTACTACAGAAATTTCATTAAAACTCTAGCATTTTAAACTCACTTTCTGCTATACAGAAATTTGGGGTAAGAAATTAATAAAAGACAAATGAGCAATAAAATTAATCAAAATACCAGGATTTATTTATTATTTAGACAATGTAAAAGGTTTTATAGACATTGAATCATTTGCAGTCAGCAGTCAACCTGCAGCATACCTGTGGCTTTCTTCTGCAACCTAAGGTGAAACTTACTGATTTTCCATGAATTTGATTAAGACAAATCACAAATCACAAATCACTTTTAGGAAGTCTTGCTTTTGCTCTAAGTATCAAAGTCCCTGTTGGTTAATAAATATGCTAGAGTTTGACCTATAGCTTAGTGGGTTCAAATAAAATCCGACTTGAAGTGATTGCTGATATTTCACTTTTAAAAAAGCCTTGAATGAAGTAATATTAATCTATGTTTTAAAACATGTGTGTCAATATTGTGAAGTTGCTACTTAAAAAAAAATCATCACCCAGGAATATGGAAGCAGAAATACTAATGCTTTTGCTACCCTAATATGTCAGGTCTTTGTATATTACCCTACCTACATAAAATGGTAAAACTGTTGTTCTAAATTTGTTGAACACGTATTATGTGAATACCTACTATGTGCCCAACTTTACACTGAATCCTGTGAATAAAAACATGGAAGGACTAACCAATTAGGTTAAAGAATTGAGGTCAATTAGCTAAGATGTACTGAATACCTACTAGGTGCTAGTCACTTCTAAAACCTGTAGATATTTCATCTCATTTTATCCTCAAAACATGCCTATGGGGTGGATAGTATTATTACACCTTTGAACAGATGAGGAAACTGGCACAGAGAGTTGAAGTAGTTTGCCCAAAATCACATAAAATGTGGTCATCAGAGCCTATTTTGAACATGACTCCAGAGTTTAGGCTTATAACCACAAAGCTTGAGACTAAAGAATCTAAAATTGTTTTTAGATTCCAGTTTGGGCTATATGGAAAACTGAATAAACTGAAACCTTCCATCTACTTACAAATGCATAGGTAAGTTCACAAGAACCCTGGGGAAACTGCCAATGAACAGAAATTAAAAGGAAAGTGAAAGCTGAAATAGGAACCTTGTAAATCCTTAAAGCAGCTGCCCTGGTGGGGGTGGGGTAGGAGCAACAAGGACAGGCAAATGAGGATGTGCTGGCCTCAGAAAGCTATGGGCTTGGGCTTTAACACCCACACAGAGCTAAGAAACTAAGCCTTGGGACCATGCAAGACAAGATGGAGAGGAACCTTCCCTCTCCTGCTCCATGAAGCTGGATCCCTCAAAAAGGTGCCTCCTTGGTGAGAGGGCAGACTAGAAAAGTACATCTATCCAAAAGCACAGGATACAAACAAAAAATGTGTCTGGGTTCCAAGTGGGAAATCGTCTTCCCTGAGAATGTGCAACCACAGGGTCATGCTTCATGTGGGTTTGGATTCCAATTTATGTTATTCATATCCTCTGGAATGCTGAAAGATGAAAAATTAGCACACACACACAAAAAAGATTCATGCCAGTGATATCTCTGAGGCATTTGGTAGAAGCAAACAGAAACTTGCTCTGGAAGGTATAGTTGCTCTGGAAGGTATAGTTTATCAGGCTCCATAAAATTCCCAAAATTAAAACTTTCATTCTAAAAGGTCAAAAGCCATGAATACATGACCAATAATAAGCAAGAATCAGAATAAACAAAAGAACTTAAGATATTAAAGAGCTGATAAAGATAATCATATAAATAGTTTTAATGGGTATAAAAAAAGAACCCCAAAAACACAAGATCAAGGTATTGCAAAGAACAGATGGATTTGAAAATAAACTAAAACAAACTTCAAGAAATTAAAAATACATTATTAAGCTTAAAAATTCAATGGATGGATTAAAGAGCAGATTTGACATAGTATAAGAAAGAATTCCAAAATTAGAAAATGTTAAAAATTCCCCAGCATGAAGCACAGAGAAATAAATGAATTAAAAAAAAATTTTTTTTAAGAGACATGAAGGATAGAAGAGAAAGGTTCAACAGACATTTAACTGCACTTTGAGGATGACAAAATAGAAAAAAAAAATGCAGGCAATATTTGAAACATGTGAAAACACAATGGCTAAGAAGTAAAAAAAAAAAAAAAAGAAACATACAAATCCTTATATTGAAGAAGTACTAGTCTCCAGAAAGATAAATAAGTCCATACCTAGGTGAATAATAGTAGATACCAAAGACACAGGGGAAAAAAAATAAAGCAACCAGAGGGAAATATCTAAACTAGACAACCCACACTGGAATGAATATTGGGTTTACAAAAGCCTTCTCACTGGCAACAAGAGAGGCCACAAGTATCTAAAACATAAAACTTTCAGAAGAAAAAAACAGGAAAAAATCTTTGGGAATTTGTGTTAGACAATGGGTTCTTAGATATAACCAAAAAACACAATCCTCAAAAGAAAAAAAAATTGATAAATTGCACTTAAAATTTTAAATGCTCTTTAAAAGACAGTTAAAAGAATGAAAAGTCAAGCTATAGACTGGGAGAAAGTATTTGCAAATCATATATCTGAGAAAAAACTCTATCTAGAATATATAAAGAACTCTCAAAAGTCAACAATAAGTAAACAAACACAACTTAGAGTGTAAGTCAGAAAAACAAATATTGTATATTAACCCATATATGTGGAATCTAGAAAAATGGTACAGATGAACCGGTTTGCAGGGCAGAAATAGAGCCACAGGTGTAGAGAACAAACGTATGGACACCAAGGGGGGAAGCTGGGGGCGGTGGGATCAACTGGGAGATTGGGATTGACATATATACACTAATATGTATAAAATAGGTAACTAATGAGAACCTGCAGTATAGCACAGGGAACTCCACTTCGCTGTACAGTAGAAACTAACACAACATTATAAAACAACTATACCCCAATTAAAAAAATTTTTTTTGAACATACACTTTCCAAAAAAGATATGTGGATTACAAATAAGCACATAAAAATATACTTAACATTATTAGTCACCAAGGAAATTCGAGTTAAAACCACAATGAAATACTACTGTATACCTATTAGAATGGCTTAAAAAAAAAAACTGACAATATCAACTGCTGATGAGGATGCAAAGCAGCTGGAACTCTCATACATTTCTGGTGGGAACAGAAAACAGTTTGACAGTTTCTTATAGTTAAACATACACTTACCATACAACCCAGAAATCCCACTCCTAGGTATTTACCCGAGAGAAGTAAAAACCTATTTCCCACCACATCCCCAAAATCAGTATGCAAATATTTACAGCAGCCTTATTCATAATCACCAAAATCTGCAAACAACCCAAATGTTCCTGACTGGGGAATGAATAAGCAACCTGTGGTTTACCCACACAATGGAACAGTACTAGCCATAAAAAGGCTTGAACTACTGATACAAGCAACAACACAGATGTGTCTCAAATGCATTGTGTCAACAGACAAAAGCCAGATGCAAAAGCTACATATTTTTTTTTTAATTCCATTCATGTGGAATGGAATTAAACCTTCTGGAAAAGGAAAAGCTATTGGGACAGAGAACAGAGCAGGAGTTTCCAGGGATTAAGAGTAGGAGAGATTGTTTATAAAGGGGCAGCATGAGGGAATTGAGAGGTAATGATGGAACTGTTCTATATCTTGGTTGTGATAGTATCACTCTACACATTTGCCAAACTCAGAACTATACACCAGAAAAGAGTGAATTTTACAGTATGTAAAATTTTTAAATTAGAAGCAAAGAAGTCAATGAGATACAATGTTAATATATGGGAAGATTTAATATCATAAAGTTAGAAATTCTCTCCAAATTAATCTATAAATTCAAAGCAATTTTAATCAAAACCCCAACAGTATTTTTCACAAGACTTGAAGTGTTCTGAAATATAAAAACAACAAAAAGCCAAGAATAGCTAGGACAGTCCTAGAAAAGAATATGATGGGAAGACCCATCCCACCAGATATTAAGAATTATTACAATGCTACAAGATTTAACACACAGTATAGTAATGATGCAGGATTAGATGAAACAAAACAGAAACTGTATTTTACAAAGCTGCTTGCAGGTTGGGTTCTGGATACATATTAGTTTCATCCAAATAGGTACATCTGCACAAAAGTTTCACCACAGAAATGAGGTAGAAGCCATCTTCCTAAGGTCCTGATACGAAATTGACAAGAAATATCAAAGGCAGTCATCTCTGCACGTCTAGTCACCAGTTTTGTGGTTCTGAGGGATGTGTAGCAGTGTCAGAAGCAGCAACAGAAAAGCAGCAGCTTTCAGATCTCTGGATTTTGGATATGGTGGTGTGACCTGGGAACCAATAATCCAAGGGACATCCCCTCGCATGGTTTCACTGGCCTTCCATTGATTTTTGAGGAACTGAATTTCTTGTATTCAATCCCTTTCTGCTGGAAATGTCTAGAAGGCTTTCTATTTCCAGCATTAAATCATGATAGAGAAAAACTCTAAGAGTTTCATAATGCAGAGTCTAGTGCATAAGTCAAAAGAATAAGTGAGAAAGGCTTCACAGACTTGCAAGAAAATTTTTCACCATAAATTTCAAAATTTTTGTTTCCCACAACCTTAAAATAAATTATCCCCCATCACAGAGGGAAAAACAGATTCTTTAAAAAACGTCAAGCTTAGATATTTTAAGAAAAGAAAAAGAGACCAGGTAATGTACCTACTAAACATATAACATGTGGTTTTTATCCAAACTCTATTTTTTAAATTACTGAATCTTTTTCATAATAAGAGTCAATGGTGGCATAGTAGATGTTGGAATACAAAGCTTTCTTATGAAAGAAGAAAAGTTAATAAATGAGGATTAACAAAATACAATCGTGAAAAAATAAGCCATAACTCCCCCCCAAGAAAAAAGAGGAGAAGGTAAAGAAGGAAACAGTATTTTCACATTAAATGATCTAAAGTAAAATCCAAGAAATCTATGAGTGCTCCCAGAACACACCCTTTAAAGATGAACCTTAGAATGGGATGTTAACAACAGCCTTGGTTTATCAATTGCTAGAGATCAGAAGAAGTAGTTTATGTCACTTCTAAACAGCATAGTACCTTGAAGGATGCTGGTTCCGGTGAGAGCACCTCCAAAGAAGCATTTGAACCTCTGCTCCCATGACGTGTTCTTGAATTTGAGGCTGGTTTTGAAATTCCATCTAAGTTTCCCTTTATAATATCCATTGATCTCCTGAAACAAACAAAATTTCAAGCAAGTTATGACTTGTATGTTTAAATGTTTCATCAGCGTTAATAGGCAGTGAACTCAGAGCCTTTGTTATAAGGATTATGTCACTACCAAAGTCACAGTACCCTAATTCCATCAAAAGATGTCTGTGTCCATGGATCATTACATCTTATGTCACCATAGGTGGAAAAAACATGCTGCCAGGATGTCAGATTCTGAAAGTGGCTAAAAAAGAATGCAGACGTGAACACCATCTCAATGGCCTTCTGTGCCTCCAAGAGAAACAGTTGCTGTGGCCTTGGCCTAAGAAGACACTTACGGAGCACCACACCCCTCGGCCAAGATTCATGCTTCATCGTAATAATCTGCCAAGGCCTCTACTTTCTTCGGGTTTTACCTTCCTTATTCTAGCTCAGCCTTCAGCCGGGGCTCCCCTCTCAGCTCTGATTTTTCCTCTCCTCCTTGGTACTGCATTTTCATGGAGTACTTATCTCCAGGTGACCACACTCTTCTATCAACCCTCCCCTTCCAAAACCCATGATTCTACTTCTGCCTTGAAACAACAGAGAACTGAACCTACTCTCTCTACCAGAGGACCGGCTTTCACTATCCGGATACACATTGCGAATCTCTTTAACTATTTTTCATGTGACACCATCCACAAGACTCTCACCAGTCTGGCTGCTCTATTCCTAGGACTATTTCCTGAAGCAGGAAATATTAGGCAGGATGGTTTAAACTAGTGGGAAAACTTGGACACTGCTGGTACTTTGCTCCTTCCAAACTGCCCTTGGTCAGGACCATTCCAAATATGTTCAGTAATGCTCGGGGTATCATGCATGCCAAATAAAGTGGAAGAAAGAGAGAGAATTTCATAGTTTGACTTCTCAATACTTAGCTTTAAATGTGAATGGATATCTTCCAACAAATCCTTTCCTAAATTCCTATCAATTATAAATTAAACCATTTCTCTCATAACAGAATGAAGAAAGGCAATTGCCTCTGGCCCAGCAAGTGTAACAATGTCCATTTCTTACCCTAAAAAATGACTCATCTTTCTTTCTTTTTTGGAACAGCTGAGGCAGAGTCCAAGGAAGCTTTGGACACAGGAGGAAGCTCAATCACGAACAACCCCATGCTCCTCCAAGGCACCCAGAGCAGTAATATGATTTACCCTCCAACCATTCAGTGTGCCAAAGCTGAGGCTTAAAGGACAGTAGGTCAACTCTTTCCATCTCAGTAAATGAAAAAGGCAGTGATCTCAACATTACTCAAACTCTGCAAAAGGGTTTTTGGCTCACTCAGGAAGGCACTGACATTATTATTGTGGGATGACGGATCGCCCTGGCCCGTCACGTCACCATCAAAAAGCTTAAGTCACTGAAAGGCCAAATGTCTTGTAATGCCCTAAACAGCCTGTCAGGGGAGACTTATTGTGGCTAACAGAGGGAGCAATGAGATGGAAGCCTGTGCAGAGCCAGTATAATACATGTCAATAAAGGGAGAGGCACAGGGAACCACCAATGGCATGGATCAACTAAAAGGCTCCAAAAATCTTTAGATTAGTTTTAGAAATAGGTCTGTTCTATTATGTTTGCTCATGAAAATAATAAATAAAATAGTTTCCAGGATGGGTAGGGTTGTAACTAACAATCTTATGAATTTGGCCATGTAGAATAAAGTATGGATAAAGGATACTGAATTAGGAACTTAAAGATGTTTTTGAGTATTTGAGAAGAAATCTCAATAGCCAGAGAGAAATTCCACAAGAAAAATAAAGCATTGTACAAGAAAACAAACAATCAAATGATAATACTTATATAAGTACTGAATTTAACCGAACACTGTGCCTTAATTACATTGAGTGTACGTGAGGAGGAGTATGTAAAAGAAAAGGTAGTATAAAAAATCTAATCTGTCCTAATAGGAAATCAAAGAGAATATCCAAAAATTGATAAAGCCAAACAGTAGTTAAATAAGCACAATAGTTAAATAAGTTCAAGATATTTGCCCCTGAAGGATGTGACTAGAGACTGCTTTTTTTATTGTAAATGTTACAGTACAGTTTGACATATTTTACTATATTACTTTAATAAAAGTAAAAAAAATTAATAATAAATAAAAATATGGAATCTTCAGGGGACTGGAAGGAAACATAGAGCTAATTTATATAATAATGAGGTTAATGACTTACTAAGCAGCATATCAGAGCATAAGTCAAACAGGACGAAACTAACAGATTTGATTACATAATATTTAATGTTCTTGAGTATCAAACCAAAAAAGGAACTCTAAATTAAATTAAAAGGTACATGAGAAAATGGAGAAAATATATGCAATACAGATAATATACAAAAGGTTAATACATTTACACATTTAAAGAGCTCTTACCAATCAACAAGGGAAAGAAACATTCCAATAGAAAACTGGCTGGGGCATAGACAAGGAAGGAAAGAAGGAGGAAGGAAGTCAACACCTTGTTTAAAAAAACAAGTCCAATTTCTCTAATTAAAGAAATATACAGAGAGGAACCTGAAAGATGATCACAAGTCAAAGAAGTAACAGTGGTAGATTCTGGGTTGGTAGGTTCATGGATGTTCTTGTATCTTTTTTCACCTTTTGCTTATCTGTATTTTCTGGTTTTCTATTAATCTTAAATTCATAATTAAAGAATTTATTTACTGAAGAAATTTTTCTGGAATATATTAAAGTATACTCAAAAATAAATAAAAATCACCCAATATTCTCCACCCTGAGCTAAACATTGCTGGCACATTTCCTTTCCATTTTTGCTTTTTATGTCTTTTCAACAAAATTGGATTCATATATTTCTCACTTAACATTACACGATAAACATTTTCTTATTACATTACAGATACTTCTAAAATAGAATATTATTTACTTCTTGATATTCCATTAAATACATGGATATATGACCAGATTCTAAATTCTAACAAATCACTACTAAAACATACCAGCTTTTCATAACATTCATTTCAAGCAAGATTAATTTAAACCTTTTCAGAGAAATGCAACCACCATGAATGGTTTAAAACCAAAATGGAGTACAGGGATGTGATGTTAGAGAAGTATAGGAACCTGCTCTCCGTGGGTGAGGATACCTTCCTTCCAGAATTCCTTATCCAACCACAGGGTTTAGAGTCCTTCATTTGCAGAGTGTCTCCTGGAATCTTCTGCTTCCTACAATAGGGTTTCAGTTTGCAACGTTTCAGGAAAGATTGGGAGTTTGTGGATATAATTTTTTTTTTTTTTTTTTTTTTTGCCTCTCGCTGTTGTGACTTCTCCCATTGCGGAGCACAGGCTCCGGACGCGCAGGCTTAGTGGCCATGGCTCACGGGCCCAGCCGCTCCGTGGCACATGGGATCTTCCCGGACCGGGGTACGAACCCGTGTCCGCTGTATTGGCAGGCGGACTCTCAACCACTGCACCACCAGGGAAGCCCCTTGTGGGTATAATTTATCTTATTCTTTTAAAATTGCAGCCTCCCTTTTAATATACTTGGTAACTGCTTGGGATGTGTCTATATGAACTGTGTACTATATGCTTCTGTTATAGTCCTTACAATATTTTATTGTCTTATTTTCTGTAACAATTTTCCATGGATTCTTTGGGCTTAAGGTACATTAAAAGGGAGACTGCGATCCTGGGACTTCCCTGGTGATGCAGTGGTTAAGAATTCGCCTGCCAAGGCAGGGGACACGGGTGCGATCCGCGGTCCAGGAAGATCCCACGTGGCACGGAACAACTAAGCCAGTGGGCCACAATTACTGAGCCTGCAAGCCACAACTACTGAAGCCAGTGCGCCTTGAGCCCGTGCGCCATTTATTTTTCTGGAGAATAAAACCACCTCTGAGGGCTTCCCTGGTGGCACAGTGGTTGAGAGTCCGCCTGCCGATGCAGGGGACACGGGTTTGTGCCCCGGTCCGGGAGGATCCCACATGCCGCGGAGCGGCTGGGCCCGTGAGCCATGGCCGCTGAGCCTACACGTCCGGAGCCTGTGCTCCACAACGGGAGAGGCCACAACAGTGAGAGGCCCACGTACCAAACAAACAAACAAACAAAAAAACACCTCTGAGTGATTAAAATTTAGACCAGCTAGTCAAAATGCTTTATCACCTGTTCTTCTAAAACACTGATCAACGGAACAAGTTTTACTAGGGATAACAGTGTAATTGTATTCTGGAGTTCATATCGGCAATATGGTTTATGACCTTGATGCTGGATCACGACATGTCAATTGTATAACTGCTATTGTCTGTTTGTTCAATGATTAAAGTATCACGTGATCTGAAAAAAAATGGGGACACGTAGCTGCTGTAATCTGATGTTTTTAGATAAATGGAAGAATCAAAAGAAAATAAATCCTCCTGTTTAGTAATAACAAAGAGCCAGCCTTTTTAAAAAGTAGAATTACACTTATTTTCATGATTTTAATATCTAAAAATTACTTATGGTAGTTTTTTTTTACTTTCTGTACTTGTTTATTATGTAAGAAATACTTGCCTTTGAGAGGGATAAAAAATCAAATAATACAGAAGAATGTAAAAGTTTTTCAAGTCAAAATTACCCTCACCCCAAGAAAGATTTTTGTAAGTCTCGCTTTTTTAGGCATATGCAAACTTTCTATCCTTTACCTCCCTACTCCTCCCCAACACAAACACACACAAATGGCATGGTGCTTCGCAACTTGCTTTTTTACACTTAGTGTATTTCAAAGATTTTTCTATACCATCACATACAGATACACGTCATGCTTTCAAATGATGGCATAGTATTTCATTGCATAGATGTAGCATTTTTTTATTCAGCTCACTTAGGTTGTATATAGAAGATTTGTTATTAAAAAACAATACAAAAATTTAGTCAAAATTGATCATAGGCCTAAAATAGAAAATTAAAACTATAAAATTTCTATAAAATATGTGTGATTGTGGGCTAGCAAAGATGTCTTAGATACAACATCAAAAGTATGATTCATAAAAGAAAATACTGATAAATTGGAATGCATCAAAATTTAAAACTTCCACTCTTCAAAGGACACAGTTGAAAAGGAAAACACAGACCAAATATTGGGAGAAAATATTTGCAAAACGCACAGCTGACAAAGGACTTACATCCCGAATATATAAAGAAGTATCAAGACTCAATAATAAGAAAGATTTGAGCAGACTCATCACCAAAGATGTATGGATGGCAAACTAGCACCAGAAGATGTTCAACATCATTAGTCATTGGAGAAATTTAAAACCACAATGAGATACTGCTACACATTCAAATGTGAAAATTATTTTTTTTTAAAACTAACAGTACCAAGTGCTGACAAAGTTGGAGCAACTGGAACTTTCATATATTGCTGATGAGAATGCAAAATGGGACAGCCGTGTTGCAAAACTGCCTGGCACCTTCTTACAATGTAAACATACACTTACCATATGAGTCCATAATCTCACTCCTGGATATTCACCCAAGAAATGAACATTTATATTCACACAAAAACCTGTACATATAGCATCTACATTAATAACTGCCAAAAACTGGGAACAATCCAAATGTCTCTCAACTAGACAATGGATAAGCAACTGTGGTACATCTATACAATGGAATGTTACTCAGCAATATAAGGGAACAAATTACTGATACAAAACATAGACAAATCTCAACTGCATAATGCTAAGTTGAGAGAAGTCAGATTCAAAAGGCTCCATAGTATTTGTTTCCAATTATATGACTTCTAGAAGACAAAACTATAGGGACAGGAAACTGATGACCGTTACCAGGGCTGGGGGTAGGGAAGGGTTAACTACAAAAACAGTACTAGGGGATTTCAGGGGGAATGATGCAACTGTTCTGTATCCTGATTGTGATGGTAATTACGTAACTGTATGCATTTGTCAAAGCTCATAGAACTGTAATATTAAAAGGGTAAATTTTACTGTATGTATAGAATACCTCAATTTTAAGTTAACCTCTTTGTACAAATCTTTGCTTAGTTATGTTTATATGCCCAGAAGATAAATTAGAATTTCTAAGTGAAAAAAAATAGAGTTGCCATATGATCCAGCAATCCCACTGCTGGGCATATACCCAGACAAAACTATAATTCAAAAAGATACATGCACCTCTATGTTCATAGCAGCACTATTTACAATAGCCAAGATATGGAAACAACCTAGATGAATGGATAAAGAAGATGTGGTACATATATACAATGGAATACTACTCAGCCATTAAAAAGAATGAAATAATGCCATTTGCAGCAACATGGATAGACCCAGAAATTATCTTACTAAGCGAAGTCAGAAAGAGAAAGACCATATATCACCTACATGTGGAATCTAAAATACAACACAAAAGAACATATCTACAAAACAGAAAGAGACTCACAGACATAAAGAACAGACTTGCAGTTACCAAATGGGAAGGGGAGATAGGGGAGGAAAGGAATGGGAGTTCGGCATTAACAGAGGCAAACTATTATACATAGGATGGATAAGCAACAATGTCCTACTGTATAGCACAGGGAACTATATTCGATATCCTGTGACAAACCATAATGGAAAAGAATACAGAAAAGAATATATATACGTATAACTGAGTCACTCTGCCGTGCAGAAGAAATTAACACAACACTGTAAATCAACTGTATTTCAATAAAATTTTTTTTTAATTGCTGAGTCAAAGAACACTATCTTTCAAATTTTGGTAGTCTGCCAACTGTCCTCCAAAAAGGTTGTACCAAACTATATTACTAACAACAGGGTACGCTGAGATGAAAGTGCCTGCTTCCCCACCCAGGCCAATCTGCTTATGTCAAAGCTTTTCATCTTCGTCAATCTGAGAAGTGTCAAAAGGTATCTGTGAGTGTGATCTACATTTCTTTAATTATGAGAGAAGTTGAGTCTCTAGTCAAATGTTTACTGCCCACCTTTTATTTTTTCTGTGAAATGCCTATTTGCATCCTTTGTCACTTAAATGGCGGGTGATTAATTTGTAATACAAATTCTAGATCTTAGGGGCTAGAAGGGCAGTGAGAGTCCTTGGTACTTGGTCTTACGGTCAGGAACGTTTACCGCTGTGTCCAGGAAATCCTGGCGACACACAGCCTTCAAGGAGACGGAAGCCTCTCCGGTGTCAGACCGGCGTGTCTCTCCCAGGCCTGGCCAGCCTCCGCTGAGCCCGCCGCCCTGCTTGAGCCCGCCGCCCAGCTTGAGCCCGCCGCCCTCTTATTGGCCCTGCCCCCTCTCCGGGCCCAGCACCCTGACACGACTCCGCCCCGCCCTCTCATTGGCTTGTCGCGCGGCGATAGAGTTCGCTCCTAACCTGTGCGGTCCCTCACCTTCTGGACGGCAACTGGGGGCTAGTGTCCAGTCGTCAGAGCATTGACACTCTCAGCGTCACCCACTGTCCCCCAAAGGGGAGGGGTCTTTCCCGCCACCGCAGCTTCTCTGGAGGTGGAAGAAGCCGCGGGTCAGAAGCCCTCCTGCCTCCCAGAACGCCGTTCCCTTGGCAACCAGAAGCACGACGCTCCCAGTCTCGCGATAGGGGAAAAGGGCTATACCATCCAGAAACGAGACGTGGGGGCCCAGGAGCGGCAGAGGACCCAGCACTGTCGGAAACCGGAGACCTCGGGCATCCCTGCTGTCTCCTCCGCCTTCCCGGCGGATGGTGGAGAGTGTGGAATGGTTTGTTCGTATTTAGGTTGAACTTGGAAAGAGGATGTCTGGATGCTTGTATGGCTCTGTCCTTCACTATTAATACGATGCCCTGCAGGTCCGCTAATCCTCTCTGAACTCAGTTTCCTCCTCTGTAAAATGGGGTGATAACAATTGCTTCCTCACAACACTGTTGTGCAGCTCAAAACATAATGTTATGTGAAGTTCTTAGTAAATGTTGGGTGCCATGTAAATAAAAAAATAGTAGTTTTGCCCAGATTGGCCTACAGTCCAAAAAAGGTAATAATTGCTATTTGCGCTTTCTTTCTTTTGTGGTTTTTGTAATTCTCAGCACGTGAAGACTATTTCCCTGGGTCCCTGAATTGACTTTCTTCATCCCCAGTACCATCAACTGTCTGCTTCTTCCAGTTTGAACAGAACCTTACAGTTTGCAAGGCATTTTCACGTACATGGACCCTGTAGCCTTATTGTTTTAGGTGGTAAGATGTGTATTCTTTAAGTGTTTTTCAGCAGAGCAAATAGACAAAGGTTAAGTGAGTTGCTCAAAGAACCACAGCTACAATCTCGGTCAGTGGTGGGTGTAAAAACCTAGCTGTAAATGCCATCCATATACTGCTAAATCCTGCCTTTCTATCTCCAGCTCAGAACTCCACACTCTTTTATCTAACTGACTATGTGACATCTTCACTTAGACATCTCCACTTCAATGTAAGAAGCACCTTAAACTTAAGATGTAAAAAAACAAACTTCTCCACAGTCCCCCCTCCACCCCTCCTTCTTATCCATCTCAGTAAATGGTAACTGCATCCTGCCTGCCAGTCTCAGGCCAAAACCTTGAAGTCATCCTCAATTCCTCTTCTTGTCACACTTTACAATCAGCTTATTATAAATCCTATCAGCTTTACATTCAAAATATATCCAGAATCCAACCACTTCTCACCACCATCCGTGCTTCCATTAAGGTCTGCACTGACATCATCTCTTGCCCAGATTTTTGCAATAATCTCCTAACTGTTGACTTCCTTGGCCCTACTACTTTCAATCAGCAACCTGAATGATGTTTTCAAAACCTAAGTCAAACAATGCCACTCCTCTGCTCAGGACTCTCCATGACTTCCCATTTCATGCAGAATCCTTACAATGCCCACAGGTCCTTGATAACCATACCCTCCGTTTTCTTCCAGACCTGCAGTCCTACCACCCTCTCCCTGGCATACTTTGCTGCAGCCTCACTGTCCTCCTTGTAAGTGTTTCTACGCAGGAATTCTTCCCAGCATTTCTCAGGAAATGTACATGTTTTTCCAAATTTAGAAAAAAAAAATCAGTTAAGAAATCAGGGAAATTGGAGAAAGTATTCTGATTCTCCTGTGAAAGTTAAACCATAGCAATCAACATAGAGATGTAACTGAAGAAATCCACTGATGTCAAGATAAGTCGAGAGCAAGAGCAGGAAATGCTGACACTCTGAGTCAGAAGTTGAGATCAACATTCCAGGAACCAGGACAGGAGCACCTGGGAGAGAGGCGATCACAGTCTGATAGGTCAATCTTGCTTGGAGCTGGTGCCATGTTATAAGTGTGCATCCCCGGCCCAGTCTGCTGCTAACAGTGAGTCATTCTTGCAAGTAAAATAAATATTAGTAAGTTGATACTCATTGTATACTTTACACAAATTCTATGACTGATATTCCAAGGAGCAACAAGTTTTTATTCAGAATAAGCCCTTAAATTGGCAATTTCCAACCCATGATTCTGTGAAGGGCTGTTGGCCTTGCTTGGAGATTTGTATGTTACATTATTCAAATGGTGCCCAGTAATGTTCTCTGTGTTCTCCAGTATTTGAATATTTGCTGTAGGCTACATCTCTTACAAATACTTCTAAATTTAATAGTCCTTATTTTTTAAACAAATGCTTCAGATAGCATGGTAATGAATAAAGAATATGAAGAAGGTTGGAAGTATGTTAAAAATAACAAGATTTAGGGGCTTCCCTGGTGGCGCAGTGGTTGAGAGTCCGCCTGCCGATACAGGGGACATGGGTTCGAGCCCCAGTCCAGGAAGATCCCACGTGCCGTGGAGCGGCTGGGCCCGTGAGCCATGGCCACTGAGCCTGTGCGTCCGGAGCCTGTGCTCCACAGCGGGAGAGGCCACAACAGTGAGAGGCCCGCGTACCGCAAAAAATAAAAATAAGAGTTGGAGAACTCCTGGCAGTTCTGATTTCTTGTTTCTGCATGCCAAAGATTAGTATCTGTTGGAAATTTGGAAACACTACTCCTTGTTCTTGTGTGAGTAAACACACACATGCACACACACACACACACACACACACTGCCTGGAACACAGTTCCTCAGCAATCCACATGGCTTGTTTCCTCTCTTCCCTCAGGTGTCTGCTTCCTCAGGTGGGTCTTTCCTGACCACCCAATATTAAATAATAATTCCCATCTCTGAACTCCCTACCCTGTTCCCTTGACTCTATTTTTTTCATAAGGAGGAGAGATGCCACTGTTTGGATTGCGATACGAAATAGCTGGGTGACCTTGGGTAAATTCATAAACTTTTGTGGGCCATAATATCCTCATTTGAAAAATGAACGTTGACTAGTTTTGCAGTTCTTAAACTCTACTGTATTAGGATAACCTGAGGAGATTAAAAAAAAATACTGATCCCAGACCTATATCTAAGATTAAATAAACCTGAAACTCTCCTCAAATTTTAATGTGCAGATAAATCACTGGAGGATCTTGTTAAAACGCTGATTCTATGTCAGGTGGGACCCAAGACTCTAACAGGCTCCCAGGTGATGTCAAAGCTTCTGGTCCACAGACTACTCTTTGAGTAGCTAGAGACTAGGTAATCTCCAAATGACTGCACAATTCTAATATTCCATGAATAAAGGCCATCCTTTCCATTTTAATTTTTGGCGAAAACTGATGCTCATTAAGAAAACAACACATTTCAGATTTCTTGGGGATGTGAGGGGGAAAAAATAACTAAGAAGTCAGGGCTGTGACAGGTGCCCATGATTAACTGGTGTTCTCATTTTTTTGAAACTTGCTTATACAACAGAAGATACATATAAAGCAAGTGAAAAGAAAGTTCAGGTTCAATAGAAACTTAGTGTCTCTTTACTGTTTGTAACCTTTCCAGACTAAGTCCCTATTGATTACATTTTTCATGAAACTCACCTCATCTTGAATTATTTTCTGTCATTCTCATTTCGTTTATTTACCTTCTGCTGCTTCCGTTTTGCAAACTGCTGAGAGGCTGTATGTGCCTTGAGGGCAAATTTAATAAACTGTATTTGTTGCATGTTAGTACACAATAAATTGTGCCTTTGTTTTTAGTTCCTTAAATTCTTCTACATCAGCTATTGCAATTACACCCTCAAAGCAATTCACATTCAGATATGTTGGAGAGCACCATATTTTTCTCTGCTGTGTTTTCTGAACTGCTGTGTACAACCCCCCCCAAAAAAAATATTCTAGAAAGTATTATGCCTTTCAAAATAATTCATAAAGATTTCATCTAGAGTCAAGATATTTTAAGCTAAAATTTCCCTGGTCGCATTCCAGGTTGGTGACATATGGCAGCATTGGTTTCAAAGTTGGTTTTTGTTTTTGTTTTCAATCTCTCTCTGCTCTTGACGTTCTCCTTCTGAGTGGAGTCAGGTTTGAATGAATGAGAGAGCCCACGCTGTATGCCATCTGGGCTCCAACTATCATTCCAGCCTTGTTGCCCCAATTTCCCTTTTCTCACCATAAGCTTCAGCCAAATACAACAACGTACTAGGAGAGGAAGCTCACTAAGCCTCGTATCACAGATTCTACAAACTAGATTAAATAGCCACTTCTTTTGAAGGGTAGTCAAAAGCGTGTGCTACTGGACAGTTCCCAACTCGCGTGAGTCTGTGGCTTAGAGTTATTAAAAAGTAACAATTACTGAGTGTTTAGGACATGCCTTAGGTGGCTCTTTCCATGTCACTTCCTAACATCCTATGAAGTGGCACTGTTATTACCCAGATTTGCAGTTGAGAAGCAGAGCATGGTAGGTTGAGTGGTTTTTCCGAGTTCATTCAGAAACTAAATGGTGCTGGGATTCCAACCGAGTTCCACACCCTGTTTGTTCTGTTCACCTCCTCGCTGGACTCAATTCGGGAAAAGAGGTTATTTGTATCCACTAGATGGTGCTGATTGCCTTCTCTTCAAAACAAAACTATAAACCTGCTTTCAGCACCTCTCAATTTCCTTGGATTTTAGGTATGATCCAAGAAACCACTGAACTGAAATATCCTGTTTGTTTGAACTGTGCTTGGGTACATCTTTAAATAGCCATCCCAATAGGAAAAGTGAAAACTAGATCCCAAAAAAATCAGAGTGGATTTTTAAAAATATCTTAGTACATATTATAAGTATCTCATATCCAATAACCATTGGTAACTTTGAGTGACTAAGGTTCTCATACATTTGTAGTCCTATAAAATCTGCAGGCTATTTTTAAAGTCCATGTTTTATTTCATATACCCCTTTTACCCCAACTATACTCCCTCCCGTGCCACCCGGTCCTGCTTGGCCACAGTGCTGCCATGTAATCAGGAGACATGACCAGGGAAGTAAATCAAGTCTTAAAAGAACAAAAAGCAAGTTCCGGAACAGGTAATCCTACTTTTTTTTTTTTTTTCAGTGCGCGGGCCTCTCACTGCTGTGGCCTCTCCCGTTGCGGAGCACAGGCTCCGGACGCGCAGGCTCAGCGGCCATGGCTCACGGGCCCAGCCGCCCCACGGCACATGGGATCCTCCCGGACCGGGGCACGAACCCGTGTTCCCTGCATCGGCAGGCGGACTCCCAACCACAATCCT